AGAAGGGGAAGTCCCATTCAAATATTTGGGAATTCCTATCGGTGGGAACAACAGGAGGTTAGCAATATGGCAACCAATGGTGGAATCCTTTAAAAAGAAGCTATCTAGCTGGAAGGGTCGGCATCTTTCCTTAGGAGGTCGTATCACGCTCATCAATTCAGTGTTATCAAGTCTACCGTGTTCTTGATGTCAGTCTACTTAATCCCAAAATGTAGACTCCATTTCATTGATAAAATTCATAAACATTTTTTATGGGGTATGGGAGGCGAAGAAAGAAAAATAAATTGGGTAAGTTGGGAGAAAGTGTGTAAAAAAAGAGAGGATAGAGGGCTAGGGGTGAGGGATTTGAGGAAGTTTAACTTGGCTTTGATGGGAAAATGGTGGGGAAGACTAGCAGAAAGACAAGAGGGATTATGGAAGAAAATTACTGTTGGAAAATATGGCAAAGGAGGGAGACATTGGTTGGATTGGATTATGGAAAGTAAAGGAGTAGGCTCATTATGGTGGAGAGATGTGTGCTCGCTCAATAATATGGATATGGAGAGTGTAGGATGGCTGTTAGAGGGATTTAGGATAAAGGTGCGAGAGGGAAATACAGTTAGATTTTGGTGGGATTATTGGGCTGGGGAGGGGAGTCTTGCTAACAAATTTCCTACGTTGTATCTTGTATCAACAGGAAAGGAAAACACATGCAACCAAATGGGCAGTACAAGAAACGAATCATGGGTATGGAAGCTATCATGGAGAAGAAATTTGTTCGATTGGGAAGATGAGGAGGTCACGGAACTTCAGAATATGATTAAGGACGTGAAGATATCCCAAGGATGCCTTGATAGATATGAGTGGGTTCACGACAAAGATGGCTTGTACTCAACTAAAACGGCATATTAATTGTTAACAAGGGAACAAAGGAGATCAAATGGAACTACAATCTACAAAAGATTATGGAATTCTATTCTACTGAGCAAAATATCAACATTCAACTAGCAACTATTGGTAGATAGAATACCAACTAAGGTGAACTTGTTAAGAAGAGGGATTGTTAAAGACATGGGAGAATGCATGTGTGATATGTGTGATGAAGAAAAAGAGGATACTACCCATCTATTCTTAAAATGCAAGATTGCTCGGTGGTTGTGGGAGTCTTGTACTAAGTGGTGGGAGCCCAAGGTAACATTGGAAAGTGATTGTTGGAAGACATTCGAAATCTTTGGGGAATGGAACAAAGATCCAAGTGTCAAAGAAGGATGGGATTGCATTTGGGGTGTAGTTTTCTGGAGAGTGTGGACTGCTCGAAATCAAAAGGTATTCTAGAACAAGGAGATCAATCTAGGGAAACTACTTGAGCTCATACAAATAAGGTCTTATTTATGGATCAAAACAAAGAAAGATAGGTATGCCTTCACTTTATCAGATTGGCTAATTAACCCTATTGTATGCATGAAAGATAACTATGGGGGAAGGATGAATGCCCGGGGATAGGTCGGATTGACAAGATTTATTTTGTAAAGGATGCTTGAATAGTGTATAATGGGCTAAGTACCCCTTTTACTCATTTTATCAATTAAAATTCTGATTTGCTGTTAAAAAAAAAGAAGAAACTATTAACTGACAAAAACCTACTTTCAGCTAAATTGTTAACATAATTAATTTTATAATATTTCATTAATTTTATATTTCGTTAATTTTGTTAACTGACTATTAGATGACTGTTAGATGACTATTAGATGACAAAAATCTATTTTCAACTAATAGAGTTAACAGTCAGCATAAAGTGAGGACTATTTTCTTTCATTTGAATAAGTGATAGGCTAAAACCTACAAATCTTGTAAGGTGAGGGGCTAAATGTGTCATAATATAAGGTAAGAGACTAAAAACTTCAAACTTGATAAGGTGAGGGGCCCAAAGTGGATTTTTGCCTAATATACATGCCAAGGCTTTCAGGGCAATGAACAAAAGACATATGATATCGTTTCTAACAAACCACCCCTTTATGGCTAAACAGTCAGTATACATGTTGGCCTCCCTATATATGTGTTGACAGTGAATTTGAGGAAACTTGGCTTGCAGCTTCTTGCAATCCAAAATCATGGTAGATAAGGGTTGGTTAACAGAGCTCATTCTTGATAACAGCTAGAACACAAGCAGAGAATCAACTTCCACCACAATGTGAGAAATATTAAGATTTGGGGCAAGTGTCTTTGTAGATCCTCCACGTAGGCCCCACAACTTTGCCTCTACCACCGAGGTAGTACCAATCTATCTTGCAAACCCAGCAATCCACTTCCTTGTGTGATCTCTAATAAGACCGCCACAAGAAGCCCAACCTGGGTTACCCATATAGACCCATCAGTATTAAGCTTGAAATAGCCAGTATTGAGCTTGAAATATCCATAAGGAGGTTTCTCCCATTTGACAAGTTTCTGGTTTGGGGAATGCCTCTTGTCAAGCAAAGGTTTAGATGCAATGTAATATTTGAAAGCTCTGTCTTTAATGAGCAAGCAAGCTCTACTAAGGTTAAAAGATTCTGAACGATACAGAATCGTTTCTTTGAATCCATATAATCCAAAGGGAAAAACAAAATAAAGTGCCTTAGGGAATAGGCAAAAAAGAACTCATGTCGATTCTGGCACAATTATTCTTAACACAATGAAAGAGAGATGGAATCACCATCATGTCCCATGTTCCCTTGGAAAAAATACTCCCACAACTAAACGGATTTGGGACAATTTGTTAGAAAATGATGACAAGATTTAGTTTCAGAATTACAAATTGGGCAGATTAGGAATCCAGAATACCTAGCTTGTGAAGAAAATCAAAAGTTTTAAGACGTTTAGGGCACAATGTCCAGATGAAATATTGAATTTTTGGCAATGTAAAAGTCTTCCTAATCCAATTCCATTGCCCACAAGTAGAATGAGGAAGGCCCATACTTAAAATTGTAAAACTCCTTTAATACAATGGTTTTGCATTGTCTTTTTGCATCATTCTTTTTATATTCATCTGACATTTAATCCATGCTGCATACATTTAAATGAGGAGCTTGCTTAATTTATACTTTAAGGGTATATGTTAAAAATGTAACAAATATAATTTTATAATTAATTTACATAAAAATTATAAAAATTAACATTTATTTTAACACTATTGACATATAAGTGATTTTAATTAATTGATTAATTCAAAGTTAAAACTTCTCTTTTTATACAAATTAATTATAAAAAATATTAATTATCGCTCTTAAGGTGTAGATTAGAAAAACCTTTAAATGAGTTATAAAATCAATGGTATCTCTTTTCTCAAACCCTCAATCCAAACTTTAAAAATATGGAGGCTTTGAATCTCAACTGTTAGATGTTGTTGAGGCAAGTTTTTGCTACTTAAAAAACTAAAAACTAAAAACATACAAACAAAAATTTTGATTTAATTAGCATTTATTAATTTAAAATTTTTAATTTAAAGTTGAGTTATGTTAAAAAAAAAACTTAAATCACTTATTCATTATGAGTTTTTTTTTTTATAATTTAAACTGTAGTAAAATAAAATGATTGGATAGGGAGAGAACTTTAATATTTAAGGTCCACTTGTCCATTTAGAAGTCTTTTTATTATATAATTTAGACTGTATAATAGTTTTTTTATTTATTATTTTATTTATTATAAGAAAAAAATTCAGAAAAGAAATGGTTGTTTCAAAAAATATTTTTAAATAGAATAAGTTAGAAAATTACTTTAAAAGGATTGAGTTTTCCCTAATTTTTAATTGCCTAAAAATCAAAATTTTGTTTAAAGGATATATTATCAATGAAAAAAGTATAATATTTGTTGGAGAATGTCATTTTGAAAATGTTATAATAGGCATAGTCATATGACATGTTAGATTAGTCCTTAGCTAAGCTACTGATTGTTACTAGATCATTTTGGATTTTATTTTATTTAGTTGATTTGTGTAGCACCAGGCATGTCTAGGAGGGAATTTCCTGTTTGGAATTCCCATTAATATAATCACACACTTATCCTTGATTTAAAAAAAAAAAAAAAAGTTTCCTTTTTTTTTTTTTTTCTAAATCTTAGTATTTGAAAGTGATATTAAAACCTGATTAAAAGTCTGTGTGGTATGGCAATTTAATACTAATGGTTAATAGTTTTACCCTACATGTTAAGAATATGTGTTTAGTAACTTATTTATATTGAAATTACTATAAATTAAATGTTTGATAAAACTTTTTATTTAGTAATTTAGCACTAAATAATAGTAGTTAAAGTCTAAACTATTAGCAGCTTAAAAGTAACTTTTCATACCAAACCATTAGTATTTGGAATTTTTTAACTTTTTTTACAAATTTATCCATTTTAATTTTTTAATTCTTGACCGTGATTTTTAATTAATACTTAACAATTAGTTTCAATTCTTTTTGTCTTTAATAATTTTAAGTGATTATTATATTTTTATTTTTACATTAGTTTATCATAAAAATATATTAACTTAATAAACAAAATTTACTAATTAGATGAAAATATTAAAATTTGTTTGTAATATATTGAAAATCAATACAATTTTTTTATTAAAAATAAAAATTAGTGTTTTACTATATGATTATAATTTATTTATTATTTATTTATTATTATTTTTATAAAATTAATAATTTTAATAATATAAATATAAAAAATACACTTAATTATTTTTAAACATGTATTTATTAGTTATTTAATTTTAAACAACAACAATTAGTTATTATATAACTAAACAATTATATTCATCAAATCCACTATTTATTATTCATTACTCATTTTTTCACTATCTATCATCTATCATC